ACCTTTATTTAGCCCCTTAGTCCATTTGGAACAGGTTTAACTTGATATGGTCATTCTAGAAAATGTTTCTGTCCTATGTATTATGGGCTGGCATTCTTTGCCCAGTGATTCTATTTCTAAGAGTCTAACTTAAAAGAATAATTTGACACGTGGTCAGGACTTCCACATGAACAGTCACCCCAGAAGTGCCCATAATAGTGAAGAAATGAGAATCACATAAAACTTCTCATGGGTGAGGTGAGCATAATTTCCTACATTATCCCACATGATAACCTTCAGCTATTCAAAATTAGTTCATTAAAACTGAATAAAATTTAAAATCTAGAGGCATGTGTGATAGTTTGAATGAGACTGTCCCCCATAGGCTCCAAGTATTTGGACATTTTGTCTCCAGTTGGTGGCACTGTTTTGGGAAGTCTTAGAAGGTGTGGCTATCCTGGAGGAAGCAGGTCACTGGGGGAGTGCTTAGGGAGTTCTTGAGTCTTGCCTTGAAGATGTGAGAGCTTAGCTTCCTCTCCTTCTCCAGCCACCTCTGCCGTCATGCCTCCTCACCATGATGGACTCTTGCCTCACGGAACTGTAAGCTCAAACAAACTCTTCCTTTTATAAGTTCCCTTGGTCACAGTGTTTCCATCACAGCAACAGAAAAGAAACTAATACAGCATGAAATGTGGCTCATTTGGCAGAATGCTTATCTAGCACACACAAAGCCCTGGGTTCCATCACCAGCACCCACATAAAATAGGCATGGTGACATATACAAGTGATCCCAGCACATCCTTAACTACATTTCCAGTTTAAGATCAGCCTGGAATACATGAGACCCTGTCTATAATTAATTAATTAATTAATTAATTCAGTTCTTCAACTACAGTGGCCACACTTGACAGGCTCATTAACTGTCTGTGACTACAGCGATCATACTGGACGACAAAGGTACAGAACACACCCATCCTCACCAACACTGCTGCTGGGTGGTGCTGCCCTGTGATCACCAAAATCGGGTGGTCAAAGAAGAGTTAATAGAATAAAATAGTTCCTGGCATAAAAGTGAATAAAAATATAAGAATACAAAACATTTGGTTGTAATAGGAGCTCAGATTGCTTGCAATAACTTTAATCACCAAGATCATGTTGTTAACAAAGAAGAGAGAAGAAAGCCTGAAGAGACGTAGGTATGTAAGAAGAAAACTGGAATGCGTGAGGGAGTTTAACATATGCTACCACTCAGGAACTCACTGATTCAAAATGCAAACAAGAATTGTCGTGCTAGGTTATGTGTAAGACGTAAAGAGCACAGGATTCCATAGCCAACAGTGCTCTCAAAAGAAGCCTCAGCAGTGGCATTGCCTCTGTGTTGGGCTTATGCTGGGGACAGGGGAGGTCTCTGTTATTTGTAGTTTCTAGTCTTGGAAAGGCTCACTTGATGGCCAGCTATGATCCTGACTCCACACGTGGTCCTGGGCACTCAAGCATTGACACTGGACCTCTCCTATTCCCAGGTACCAAGAGGTTTTCCGTCATTTTTCTATCGCTCTTCTACAGTTCCACTGTGCCTCACCTGTGCGCTACAGAAAATGCAAACCACCTAATAGATCTACTACAGGTAAAATCACAGTCCAGGAAGTTAATTTTTTTTTAAGCCATGGTTTTCTTTTTGCCAACATCTATTATCCAGCTACCAAAGTTACAAAACCAACTTGGTCAGCAAATAACACATAACAACTTGTACAAAAAGTAAAGAGCTCTACAGTGTGCTAAAGAAGTATAGAAAGGCTATGCAGTCTCTCAAACATCAATAAGTAACCAACCACTACAAGGGAAGCTTTGGTGTGGTTAAAACTTTGAAGAAAACTTGAGAAATCTATTAGAAATTTGGATCCAATCTTCTCACTGAAACCAGCTGAAAGAGCCAAAAGAAAAAAAAAAAAGGGATTTTTTTAAGATCTTGAGATTACAAAAAAGCTAACAAAGTGTTGATGGAAAAGGTATGGTATAAGATGAAAAATGTTTAAATCTCTTTACCTAAAGATCTTTTTCCTAAAAGAATGTTTGCCAACATCAAAGAGATTTCTGAGGCCCAGGGAGATAACTCAGTGATAAAGTGCTTACAAGTGTGAGAACCAGAATTCAGACCCCCAGAATCCATGTAAAAGCTGGGCAGCTGTGGCAACTACCTATAATCCTAGCACTCGGGAGGCAGAAACAGGGGATACCCAGCTCCAGCTGGCTACGTAGGCCAATCAGAATTGCTAAGGTTCCAGGTTCAGAAAGAGACCTTGATTCAATAAATAAAGAGGAGAGGGACTGAGGAAGACACCCACATCGATTTCATGCTTCCACATGTATGCACACATATGTACACATATACACATACACCCATATTCAAACACATAAACACATGCACAGCACACACACACACACACACACATATGAAAAAAATAAGAGATTTCTGAGAGCCTGAGATCACTTTTGTAGCTTAGCAGATCAAAAGTTGAAAGCCAAGGGTAGGTGCTCTGGAAGATCCTCTACACTTTACGCAAAACAGAAATAAAGCCAATCTTAATAGACTATGATTCAGCTTTGAGCTACTGGACTACCCAGAAGATCTTAAGCCCTGAAAATGTACTGAAATAATCCAGGCCTGGTACCTGACAGAAACAAGCCAATTTTTTTTTCTAGAAGAACAGACCATCATCTCAGGACTCGAACTATTTCTATAAACAAATTTTCAAATATAGTGTCCATGATATAATCAAAGATACCTAGTCTTGCTCGGGCAGATGGCCAGAACTATAGTCCTAAGCTATACGGAGGCTGAGACAGGAAGATGACAAGTTCAAGGCCTCTGAGCTGCAGACTGAATTCAAGACCTGTGTTGGTAAATTAGTGGGCCTTTATCTCAAAACAAAAAGTAAAAGAGATAAGGAATGTAGGTCAGCATATTTAGCATGCACAAGACCCTAAAATCAATCCCCAGCACCCCCCAGAAGGATATCCAGTCATAGTTGCACAAAGAAACAATAAAAAGCCCCTATAACACTCCAAAATTTAGATTTACCAGACACAGCTTTAAGATAACTGTTTACCACACTCAAGGAAATAAGGTTATCAACAACACTGTAAAAGAATTGAAAACTCTAAAAACTGGCAGAGAAAGTTTGCAAAAGAATCAAAAGAATCTCTAGAACTAAAAGGTACAATAATGGAAATAATCAAAGGGTGAGTCAACAAGTTAGACATGGTTGAAGAGAAAATTTGTGAACTGACAGACAGGTTTGGAATAAAGTATGAAAAAGCAATGGTTAGACTAGATAGAAGAAAACATAGGAAACAAATGGAAAGAAGATCTACCATTGGATTCCAAAACAGGAAAACTGAACCAAAGAAATGTCAGAGATAGAGGCTGAGGGTTCACCCATTCAGTTTCTTTCCTTGTTGCTGTGATAAAATACTCTGACAAAAGCAACTTAAGGAGGAAGGCTTATTTGGCTCACAATTCCAGTTTATAATCCGTCATTGTGGGGAAGTCAAGGTGCCAGTGACTTGAAGCAGCTAGCCAAATCCACCATCAAGAGCAGACAGAGAATGAGCATTTGCTGGTGCTCAGCCCCTGCCTAGGGAATGGTGCCTCCCACAGGGATCCTGTCTTCCCACTTCTCTTCAAGGTAATCTCCTACAAACACATCCACGGGCCATCCTAATCCAGAAAATCCCTCCCTGTGACCTGTGACTCCCTTCCTAGCTGGTTCTAGATTGTACCCAGCTGACAGTTAAAACTAGGTATCAGACCAATGAACCCGCAAATTCACAAACTATGAAAACTTCTTTGGAAGAAAAAAAGAAGAAGCCATGATATTAAAACTACAGAAAACAACAGAAAAGAGGAAAATCTTAATATCGGACCCCCCCCAAAATACCCCGAAGAAAAACAAGAGTTAAAAGTTTTACTGACTTTTAACAGCAGCAATAGAAGCCAACTTAGAATTTTGTATGCATTAAAGATCTCTATCCTTAAAGAAGGAAGTGAATTAAATCGTTTTCCAGGCAAACAAAAACTGGAACTATTCGCAGCACACCCATACTTTAAAGCATTTTAGCATGGTTGGTCTATCGTGCAGTACCAAAGCAACTGCTTAGCATGCATTCAGTCCTCAGTAAGAACAATAAAACAGAGGAGTTAGCAAATGGAATTTGGATAAGGATGTGATGTTGAAAAGCTACCAAGAGCTGCTGAATGAGCTACGAGAGTTGCGGTTATCTTCTGCTTATATTAACTAGACATTTTAAAAATTAACTATCTGTATGAGCGTTTTGCCTGAATGTATGTAAGTGTACCCAAACAGGCCAGAAGAGAGCATCAGATCCCCTGGACCTGGAGTTACTGACAGTTGTTAGCTGCCATGTAGGTGCTGGGAACCAAACCCAGGTTTTGTAGATTCAATGAGAATATCACGCCTGAATTCTTAATTCCTAAATTCTTGTTCTAAGAATATGCCAAGGGGACTTCTGCTGGTTCTATTCCATTGGTCTCAAAAGAAGCCTCAGTGAACAGAATTATTGTTGATAATGGTACTGTTTTGTTTTGTTTTATCTTGACTTGTTTGGGACTGGGTTTCTCTATGTAGCCTAGGCTGTACTAACACTTGCTATGTAACACAGGCTGGCCTCAGATTCATGATCCTCCTGCCTCAGTCTCATAAATATTTGGATTCCATGTGTGTGCCGTGGTCAGCTGGCCATGGTACTGTTGAGGGGTCCTCTCAGAGTGTCCCTGTCTCACTCTTGCTATCCCATCTGCCAGTGATGTTTACGTCTATAACAAACTGCTCTGCTCTCTTAAAACCATAGATTCTATCAATGGCTCAAATGAATCAATTCAAGGATGCCTCTGTAAGCAGGAGTGGCTGGTGGTAAAGCAGACATTTGGCTTCTGGGTTTCATTCACAAGACACTGTCCCGGCTAAAGCAAGAACAAGCAATGGACAGGTAGCACTCACCTGCCGGAGTTTAGCTCCCACCATAGAGGCACTGATGTCAAGCACAAAAACCACATTCTTGGGTAAAGGAGGAAGGTCTTTAGGAGCAAAGAAGTGCACAAAGTAACCATTTAGAACCTGGTGGAGGGAAAATAAAGTAACCATGGCAGCACTTGGAGTAGGGAAGGAAATAAATTACCTAAAATACTTTCTGGAGCTCCTATAACTCAGTCAGCATGAAAAAGTCTAGAGTCACATTTCGCACCAAGAACAAAATTATATGGTCTTAATCCCTCTGAAAAAAATATGATAAAATGGAATCATCTTTTTAAAATATATCGATCAAGGACTGGGATGCAGTTTAGAAGGAGAATGCTTGCCTAGCATGCGTATATCTCTGGATTCAATCTTCAGCACCTCAAGGAGATTATATTATACATAACTCTTTCATCATCTACTTCTCTAAGCATCTTACATATTGCGATATCAAGGTTATCTGTATTCTGCATGCACAGTAATTTTTAATATTCCCACCTTGTCTCTGGAGTAATAAAACCTAAAGGGAAATAAGCTACGGAACGGTCTCTTTTAATTAAAGTTGAAGAAGAGCTAAAATTCTAACCTCATCTAAAACACCACAGGGAAATTTATATTATAGTTTTCATGCGCTCTCCAGATTACTGAAGCAGGAAATAGGTACCCTTGGCAGTCAACAAAGGTGAACATGATTCCTTTTTTAGTCTTTTTGAGACAGGGTCTCACTATGTATCCAGTTGGCCTGGAACTCACCATGTAGACCAGGCTGGCCTTGAACTCACAAAGATCCGCCTGCCTCTGTCTCCCAAGTGCTGGGATTAAATGCATGTGCCACCACTCCCGCCACGTTCATGTTTTTTAATACATATTTTGGGTTTAAACAGTCTTACTGAGAACCAGAAGGGTCTTTTGCCTTTAGGTAAGTACTGTAATCTACAATACTTCTGAACCTGACAGGAAATGCCAAGCTACCACTCTGATGGCATCGAGAATCCATTACCTGGATGTCACCAATGCTCTGCTCCCTCTTGACATCATATCGAATGATGAAATCTCCCAAAATTCCATTCTGGGCAATCTTAGCTTGTTGAACTACAGTAGGCTTAAAAACAACTTTGACAAAAGTTTCATTTTGGTTGATGACAGTAGAAGGAGGAGGTCCCACACCATCTACAAGTAAGATAGAAACATAATAAATAACTAAACATGTATTTTTTCTGAAAAGAATTGGATTTTTTTGCATAGACACAGGGAATTAGACTTCATCTTATTTGCACGTTTGAAACTCATGGCATCTAAGAACATCTGTTAATGTATGACAATGTAATAAATATTACACACTTATTGCTTCTTTTTAACCTTTTCTAATGAAAAAATTAAAACACATAAAGGTACAAAACAAACCTTCGTGTACCCATCATCCAGCTTTGACAGTTACCCACACACTGACAATCGGCTTGCATGTTTTTAATTTCACCTCTTTTCTAGAGTATTTGGAAATCAACATCAGACATATTTCAGACATAAATACTTCAGCATGCATCTGTGAACCTCTACCAATATGAAGTTCTTCTCTCATAATCACAAAGCCACGATGACAACTACCAAAATTAGTGTTTAATGTTTTGTTATCATCTAAAGCAGTCTTTGTTTAAGATTTCCCTGATTCTCTAAAAATGCCATGTTAGGTTGGGCATGGTGACACACGCCTTCAGTCCCAGCACTTGGGAGGCAGAGACGAGTGGCTCTCTGTGAGCACAAGGTCAACTTGGTTTTCACAGTAAGTTCCAGGCAGTTTGGGCTGCAGGGACACCCTGTCTCAGAAAGACCAAAAACGAATTAAAATGTCACGGTATGCTTGGTTGGTTTAAATCAGGATCAAAGCAAACATCCTATATCATATTTGGTTTATGTCTATGAGTCTCTTTTTAAGTCTCTACAAGTCTTCCTTCTAGCTCCATTTCTAAGGTGTATGTGTGTGTGTGTGTGTGTGTGTGTGTGTGTGTGTGTGTGTGTACATATATGGTAAACACTTGCCACCTGTTCTATGGAATTCCTCACATTCTACATTTCATATTGTGTCTCATCAGCTGGTTTCTTGCTGATACTGTAATATTTGAAAGGATCTGTGAAAATATAAACGCCCATGCCAACATATCCTATTTAATTGATCTGAGACACAGTCTGGGCATCGGGACTTAAAAAATCCCCCATGGATCCACCCTACTGTATTTACTGGTGTCCTGGAGGTCAAAGCCAGAAGACCTTAGATTCAGGATCAGAGTTATTGACACTCCATAGGTGATGCTACCAGGCGAAGCCTCTTCATCTCAGAAGTGATGCAGAGTACTTTCTAGAGCATCACATTAGAAAGTGCACAGTATCTCATTGTTTGCTATCAGGGTAGAAATACTGACAGTGTACAAGTATCGTTGGCCCGACACCCCTATTCATCGAGCTCCCCAGAGATCCTTCACTTGAGAGTTCTACCAGTTATTGATGAATGCTACATCTACTACTTCATTATGTTTGCCCTTTGATGACTTCAAAGTTTTTCAGATCTTCAACCTGGTGCAGAGAAAACCTCTCCATTATCAATTATTTGGATGCCCTAACAGTTTGTCCAGAAATCTTATGACTCAAAATTATGTCTATGTGAGCCAGGCGTGGTGGAGCACACCTTTAATCCCAGCACTCGGGAGGCAGAGGCCTGCAGATATCTGTGAGTTCAAGGCCAGCCTGGTCTACATAGTGAGTTCCAGGACAGCTGGGGCTACAGGGAGACCCTATCTCAAAAAGACCAAAAAAAAAACCATTATGTATATGTGTGTATATCTGCATGTGGATATGCACATGCAAGTATAGGTATTTTCAGAGGCCAGAAGACAACATTGGATTCCCTGGAACTGGAGTTACAGGCGATTGTGGCCTGCCTGGTGTACGTATCAGGAGTTGAACTCAGGTCTTCTACAACAGTACATGCTCTTAACCATAGAGCCATCTCTCCAGACACAAGAAATCTTATGACTTTTTATTTTACAAAGCATATTCCCAAAGCTTTCTACAACATGAATTTTAAGAGATAAATTAAGATTACAGAAAAAATATTAGGTAAATAGATGTGTGTGGTTAATGGAAAGCTAACATAACGGCCAAGCAAATAGCATCCTGCTTTTAACACCTGGACTTCATTTCCTATCAACACAGAGGATTAATTTAACAGACCTACTTTATAATTCCAAATAACACCAATCTATGTAGTAGCAAAAGAGATTTAAACTTTGACATCTGCATGCATCATGGAGAATATGACAGCAGAAGCAAGAGTTCTTCATTATACGCACACGAGGAAGCCAACGCTGAATCAAATTCAGTCTTAAAACTGCTAAAATCTTCTGATCATCTTTTTAAATCTATTCAAATCAATACCATAGAACAGGCGGAACAGTAATGTCTGATCTCTAATTAGCAGTATGAAAAAGAAACGAGGCATAAACTGCCACTGTAGTCTGTATTTAAGAATAAAATTTAAACATTTCCTTCAGCACAACAGATATTTTTTCAGAAACAATTTAGATGTAACTTTAACAAGAACTGAAGTCCTCAACTGATTCTTCTATGATCTGCTCTTAATCAAGGGGAGGAATCTTAGAAATAACCTGAGAGTTTACAAAATAGAAAATTTTACTTTTGTAGAAAGATGGCTATGAGGGGGGAAAAAGGCTGGTACGCTTCCAACAGATCTGCTCATCTGAAAGAGTTAGGAAAACCAAGATGGTACATTGACAAGCCACTGTCCAGTTCTCCAACACAGCTGAATAAACTTTGAGACAATTAAACAGGAGGAAGAAAAGAGAATCAAAAAGGAGAAGATACTCGAAAACAGAAACTGGCCTTGTCTGGGTACAACGACATCAGGAATAGGGCTATAACAAGGGCCATCATCTGAGAACGTAGAGTCATAAGTGTATAAGTTACTTTCTTTGTTGCTGTGACAAAATGCCTGAAAAGAAGTGTATCAAGGGAGAAAGGGTTTATTATAGTTCAAGGAAATACAGCCTGCCATGACATGGAAGCTGGTCACATTGCACCCATGTCAGAAAGCAGAGAGAGGTGAACACTGGTGCTCAGTTCATTCCGTGACTCCAGCCCATGAGGTGGTGCCACCCACGGTTAGAGCGGCCCTTTTCCATCTCAATAGCCCAATCTAGATAATTACTCAGAGACACAGGTAGAGATTTGTCTCCTAGGTGATTCGAGGCACTGTCAAGTTGACGGTATTAACTACCACACTGACTTATAAGAACCTATGTTCAGATACTGATCCACTTTTTATCGCCTGTGAGACTGTAAGCAGGTCACTAAGCCACTTGTGAAATGGGTTAATGATAATACCAATGTCATGTTCTTGAAAAGCTCCAGTGACATAATATACTTAGCACTATTCTGGTTTGTGCTAAGCAGTCATGCCAAGTAGTGTTTGCAAAGTAGAAGGAAGAATTCAATATAATATTACATACATGCCGTGCTTAGGACAATATATGACAATAAAATGAAAGATGTACTGGGGCAACTTAAAACCGGTGAGTCTCAGTCACGGTGAGGGAAAGCATCGGACACAGGCAAGTATATTCTCTACTCTTACATAAAGTTCAAGGTCCAGACCATTTATCCAAGGGCAATTGAAGTAAAGTTCCTTTGGGAGGATGGGTACTAACTGGAAAAGAATAAAAAGAAACTTAGAAGGGAAGTGTCCTGTGTTTGATGTACAAGATAGTAAAATGGGTGTATAGTGTGTGTGTGTGTGTGTGTGTGTGTGTGTGTGTGTATAACCCATTGAGACTTACACATAGGTTTGTGCACTTTGTTCTATGTATACCCTAATTTGTTTTTATTTAAACATGGGAGTTGGAGAGCAAAATAAGTTATGTTCCAGAACTCAGCAGCGTGGAACATAAATAACAATGTAATTTTCTGAGTGAGCCTGTCTCTGTTCTGTTCTTGGGATAAATGTGTTTGCCTAGCAATTTTATGGGGATTAGGTGTATCCAAAGTAGTTCCAGCTGGCAGAATCAGGATCAGGAATAGAGTTACTGGGAAGTATTTTCACTACCTTATCAGTGAAGACTAAGAAATACTCTCTGTTGCTACTGACAAGCTCTGCTGCTCTCTTCACTGGAAGTGCTCCTCCAAACCCTGAAGGAGTCACCTGTAGGATCGGTGCAGCTCAGGTCTCACAGTCTTAGAACAGCAGCATCAGCAACACCTGGGAACTTTTTAGAACTGTCAGTACTTAGGCCCTTCCCAGAAACTTCAAATCAGAAACTCTGGAAATAGAATCTAGCGATACGAACTTTAACAAGTCGTGCAGGTGACTTTGGTTTCTGACGATGGAAAATAGGGATATGCTTTACACTTAGTCCATGTGTCTTACATGCAGAAAATGGCCAGTAATCTCTGTTGTATGTAATTACACTTAGATTATCCCCCAACATTCTGCAATAATTAGATTGCACTCTCTAAACTACCAGCATGTACCCATTTTGTCTTGCTCCAAATCTCTCTCATAAACATGCTTTTTTCACAAGTGCCCTGACTTAATATGTTTGTAACAAAATGAAAGCCCTGGGGATTAAAAAGCACAATTCCTTTCTTCATAATTTATTTGAGTAGGCTCTTTGATACAGACCATGAGAAAGGATGTGAACTACTTCTGTTGCCTACTGGCTTCCGGTGTTTGTTCATTCATGCTGAAAATTCATGAATTTCATCTAAATAGGCTTATTTTACATGTCCAAAGAGTGGGTGGATACTCAGTTTGGTTTCTTCATCAAGAAGCCCTCTAGCTCTTGATGCTGGCTTCCACCCACTAAGTACCAGACAGTAAAAGTGGCCCAATAAGTTTTCTATTATGTACTTTGAAAAATAAAATCACAGGGGAAAATTCCAGAACAATATATTTTAGGAATGATGGTGATGATGATGGGAGTGTGGGTAGAAACATGCCACAACAGGCACAAGGAGGTCAGGGGCCATCTTTCAAGGATCTCTTCTTTTCTTCCTCCTTGGGTTCCAGAGATCAAACTTAGATCATCAAACTTACATGGAAAGTGCTTTTGCCAGTTCAGCCCACCTACCCACCCACCCACATCTCTAGAAAATGAAGTGTT